CTTCACGGTCGCCCTCCGTCCCCCGCCGTTGCACGCGGGGGGGCGAAGGCAGCAGCAGCAGCAGCAGCAGCTCTGCAGTTGTGCTGCTTCTCCAGCTGGATCTACAGCTAATTGGAATGGGGGAGAGCACACACACATATATATATGGAGGGGGGGAGGGAGGGGGAGGGAGGGGGAGAAAAAAGCCGGCACATAATTCTCAGCTGCACCAGCTCCTGCGGTCAGTTCTGCAGCTCTCTGCTGCTCCGTTAGCTCGCCCTTCAGAACTCGCTTCTCCCACTAATCAAATGTGGCGCGTCTGGTAATGCAGTACCGCGAGGGTATTTTACAGCACAGAAGTACAGTACGACTGTAGTACAGTACGACTGTAGTACAACCCGACCGTACGGTTGTCTCCCTTTAACCCTGCAGCTCAGAGACGACACGCTGGACCAGGGATTAAAGGTCAACTGGTCAGGATTAATTAGTCAGAGCAGTTCATTTGACCACAGGCCTCAGAGAGACTGTAGGGGGAGCTGTCTTTCATCATAATTAGATTTATGAATTTAATTAGATTTTTTTTTTTACTCAGAGATATTTGTTATTTAACTAAGAACGCAGTCAGATGAAATGATGAGAATGATTGACATCAAATATGGAAAAACAACAACAGAAATATTTAAAATACAAATAGGAGGTACTGATTTTTTTCCTTAAGAACGCTATAATAACAACATTATAATATAATATAATATAACAATATAATAATTATTTTTTGCATATTGTTGATGGGTTTTTTTAAATATTTTTTTCAATAACAGGATAGGAAATTAACATTTACATTTTTTTGTTATCTTAAAAATATGAAAATACTTTCTGTTTCTGTTTATTTATATTTCCTAACATCCTTCCGCTGACATTAAGGCTTTTTCTGAGGCAAATCTCCAGCTAACCTTTAGCTATCCTAAACATTTTTTTGCATTTAAAAAAATTAATTAAATCCATGTTTTATTTGCGGAGGTTTAAGATATTTCTGTTTGATTTTCGTCTGTCAGTGAAGTCAGGACTCGACCAGGACTAGTTTCTCTCCGAACACGTCAGCCTACAGTCGGATCACTACTCACCGACTGTACACTGATGTGTGTGCCTGTGATTGATGTGTCAGTGTACACATTCTAAATCCCCCCAGTGTTTTTCCTCACGTTGTTCCCTCTCTCTCTCTCCTCTCTCCCCCCTCTCTCTCCCCTCTCTTCCTGCAGGAACCTGGGGAAATCAGGCCTCCGAGTCTCCTGCCTGGGGTTAGGTGAGATGAGTTGGTATGGAAACAGGAAAAGGCTTATCTCTGTTTCAAGCACTGCAACAAAACAAATGCCTCTCTCTCTCTCTCTCTCTCTCTCTCTCTCAGGCACCTGGGTAACATTTGGATCACAGATCTCAGATGAGGTGAGAGCTCTGTTCTCCCTCCCTCTCTCTTCCTAATGCTCTCTCTCTCTCTCTCTCACACACCTGTGGGACATATGTATCACAGCTCTCACATGAGGTGAGAGCTCTGTTCTCCCTCCCTCTCTCTTCCTAATGCTCTCTCTCTCTCACTTACACTCTCTCCCTCCTTCTTTCCCCCCCCCCACCACCCCGTTAATGTTGCAAATCTCCCTTTTTCAATTACAGAAGGAGAGACTCCTGCAGACCTTGAAAGTGCAGCAGCTTGATGAGATTCTGTCTTTATCTCCAGAGCATTGCCCATTATCCTGCCCGCTCCGTGCCCTCCGTGGCCGACCTCTGGAAATGTATCCTCCACTTCCCTCTCTCACTCTCACTCTCTCTCTCCATTCCCTCAGATGGCTGAGAACCTAATGACCATCGCTTATGAGAACGGAGTGAACCTTTTTGACACGGCGGAGGTGTACGCCTCTGGAAGGTCAGACTTCACTTTTTTTTTTTTCTTTGTCCTCAGTGGAACCGATTAAAAAAACGACTGTTTCTGCCTCAGAGTCACACACAGGTGGTTCACAGGAACAGGAACAGTTTTTAAGTCTTCGGCTAATTCTCATCTACGTGTCGCAAACGATTTTCACAGCCGAAATTCAAACAAACATCTAACAATAAATGAGAAACAAAAAACACATAAATATATAAACACATATAGATAAAAAAGACTACAGACCAAGGTCAAGTTTTACAAAAAAAAAGTCAAATTTTCTGGTAAAAATATGGGGCGGGGCCTGATGGTGTACACTCCGAGGCTCATAACCACACAGAGAGTCCATTCAAGCCTCTCACCCACACGTCTCACATGCTCAGAGACTTCCTGTTGTTGTGCCGCCGTCTGATGTCAGAATAACCGCGAGTGATGTTTGGTCTCCACAGGGCGGAGATCACGCTGGGGAACATCATCAAGAAGAAAGGATGGAGGTGATTCCACTCACTCTTTCATTCAGTCCGACTCTGGTGCATGTGGGAATCTTTGTGTGAGATAATGACTACAGTGTAATCTCCCGGAGATCTTATTAATCCATAATGATTCCCGGCCTTCCAAAAGTGCTCGCTGCAATTTCCGCGTTTTTTTTATTACGACTGTGAGAGTCGAGCGTTTCAGTCGTCTCCGGGGACCTTGTGGACTGTTTGTGCAAATGCGGGCGCTGTAGATGCAGCCCGACTATAAAAGGATAAAAATGTAACTATGTGGAGATGAAGTCAAAACGGACGTTGTTCTCACGTCGTGACTCCGGTGGTTTTTGTGGGAAAGGATTTAGATGTAGATAATCTGGGGAGAAATATGAAATGAATCCAAAAAACAAATTCAAACAATGAAATGGGATTGGGATTAAAGTCTGGAATACAGATTTAGACTCGAGGACAAGTGAAAGATGAACTGAATCAACACTGATCTGTGTTTCTTTGCCAGACGTTCAAGTTTTGTCATCACAACAAAGATCTACTGGGGAGGCCAGTGAGTAGAGCACGGAGTGACTGTCAACTTGAACGCGTCCTCGTCTGCTTTCACCACGTCACGAAAACGTCAATGTTTACTTTTGTTTTACAGAGCAGAGACGGAGAGAGGGCTTTCCAGGAAGCACATCATTGAAGGTGATTTTGAACGATTTCCACAGAAAATATATATTAAACATTTTTTTAAAACGAACACAATTACCACAACCCAAAATTAGAAAAAAGGACGTCACTAATTCATATCCTAAAATATAAAGATATAGGAAAAAAAACAGCCAACATTGGACATAACGTTTAAAAAAATGAACACAATTTCCACAACTAATAATTAGAAAAAAGGACGTCACTAATTCATATCCTAAAATATAAAGATATAGGAAAAAAAACAGCCAACATTGGACATAACAGCAAATTAGCCACATGCTAGGTAAAAGATTAGCCACACTAGCACTAGCAGATTAGCACGAAAAACCCTAAAAAAAAAAAATCACAAAGGGACGGCTAAGATTTAGGAAACAGAAATATCTCAAAGTGAGAATTAAATTTTTTTTTTCTTTTTTATGTAAAAAATAATCCCGACTTTAAACCGGCAGGTCTCAGAGGATCATTATCGAGACTTCAGCTGGAGTACGTGGACATTGTTTTCGCCAACAGAAACGACGTCAACAGTCCAATGGAAGGTTGGTGACTCAACTCTCTTCCTGCTACAGATCATGAAATATATGTGTGTATATATATGTATTGTATATAGACATATATATTCAACTGTTCAATGTGTCTGCAGAGATCGTACGAGCGATGACCTTCGTAATAAACCAGGGTATGGCCATGTACTGGGGAACCTCACGTTGGAGCGCAATGGAAATCATGGTTGGTCTTAAAAAAAAAAAAAAAAAAATCTAGACTACGTCATGTCGTCTGCTTCCACTTTTTCTACTTCATTTATCAATAATGGTGGTATATTGTTTCTGTTCTGCCACTAGGAGGCGTACTCAGTGGCCCGTCAGTTCAACCTGATCCCGCCGGTGTGCGAACAGGCGGAGTATCACTATTTCCAAAGGGATAAAGTGGAAGTTCAGCTTCCTGAACTCTACCACAAGATCGGTCAGAAGTCCCGAGATTCACGCTCGCATTTTATCAAATTTTTGTTTTTAAATTTAATATTAATAATTATGTGTTCCATTAAATTGTCTGAACACTCT